ACTTAAGTTACTAATAGGTGCATTTAAGGTAAATAAGGTACAAAGGTTTACCTTTTCAAAGGGTACTTATAGTGACAACTTTTGTACCTTTTTTACTGAGAATGTATGCATCTGATGTTATGTTATTGTGCCATCTAATACACAGACCATAGACTGATAAATTTGTCATGTATTACACTAATGTGAAAGTTTGAAAAGTTGAGTCAGCCACCAGATAAGGCAATGACCAGCACTGATATCTTCAGTCGATCCGTTCTTGTGTATTCAAACTTTGCTATTCTTGGTTGGAAATCTCATCTCTATTCTCTTATATCTCCAATGAAATCAATGTGCTTTGGTCTCTGATGCCTGAGCTGCAGCAGCTCAATTTAACGCTCAATCGAGCATTTACATCAGCCCGTTCAGCACTAACGCAACCTCTACCTGCACTGAGACGCGGGATAATGAAAGTTAAACACCTTCAAATCAGCACACCTGAAATAGAGCTCATTTGACTTATTTAAAGCAAATTAGCATCTACGCAAAAATATGGTGAATTATAGAATTTTTAATGCTTTCTGATGGTTGTTCACACAGCATTCTTGCACTATTTTTCAATCATTGGTTTATGTAAAAGTGCTAGACAGATGTGTTTGACAGTTGTAACACATCTAGCAGTTATTTATCACTCCGCGAGCATCACATTTTTAAAGACCCAATTAAAACCACTAATTAAAACAGGAAATTTGTACAGTCTATTTTTTTTTTATATTTTTTGAGAGCATATGACTGGACAAAAATGTGTAAAAATCTATATTTTTTCTCTATTTTCTCAGACTGTATATTAATGTCATATCTGTTAACAATGAATTGACCATTCGCAAAGACCCGCCCCCCCTTAGTTACTGTTGCTATGTCCGACAAGCTATGGCACTCTCATATCATGTTCTCACGCACTGAAAAATATATCACGACGCAAAGAGACACTGACAGCATGCCGTCAGACAAGACAGAGAAGATTACTTTTGGTATGAAACAAAGTCTCAGCTTTCAAATTTTGTCACTTTTAAAATAAATTTAAACAAATACCATTTGCAGCTCTTTAATGTGTTGTGACAGATCATTATAGCACCTCAGTTCAAGTGGCACATGAAGCGATCATCTCTTCCTCTTTACTAGTTATAGCACGAATAAATTTAAACAAATACCATTTGCAGCTCTTTAATGTGTTGTGACAGATCATTATAGCACCTCAGTTCAAGCGGCACATGAAGCGATCATCTCTTCCTCTTTACTAGTTATAGCACGAA